CTATAATGGAGATCAAGTCTCATATAAAACCACTACACGTTCTGCACTGCAACTTTACAGTACCTAGAATAGAATAGAAAGGCTAGAATAACTCGTAACTGAATTGAGTATATAATAAGATCCCTGTCAAGTTAACTCGCTTTTGCAGCGTACAGTACACGATATAATAGTAAGGTTAGACTAGTCGAATGACGGTAAGCCGAACTCCTCCGGAACAAAATCTTCCAGGCTTGATAGTATTTTGTCTACACTAAAACAAAAAAGCATTAGGAAAAAGCGCAGGCAGGGCTTACTGTATGTCTAATTATAAGGAAATGGACACGCAAAGCAAAAAAAAAAAACTGAATAAACCTACTTAAGGTCGACGGCCCGTTGGCGAAATTTCGGGTCTGGGATCATTACGCACAGCATTCCTGCGGCCTTAGCACCCTTACCTCCGTTGGGAGAATCCTCGAAGACTATCACTTGATTCGGAGAGGTGGGAGGAATCGGGAACCTAAAAATTTCAACATTTGAAAGATGCGGAATCTCAATTCGCAATTCAGGGCGTTACTAACAGAGAATTGCGCGCTAACGTATGTTTGGGGAACAAAAAATTACTCAGCTTCAGAGCGGAAAGGCAGCGCAGCGCTGAACAATACAACACGAAGCCGGAAACAGGAGCAACAACGAGCGAAAAATAAGATTGAACGATACAGCGCGCCACTACTCTGACACGCAGAATCTTCAGAAGATTGTAAAGCTGGCGATTTCTTAGTTGTGTGGATTTACATATTGAACATGGGGTAACTGCACTAGGAAGGATGGGAAAACGGTATAGCGGTGGGAATCTATCGAAGCTTTCCAGGCCATGGCCGAAAGTTCCATTTCACAACATGTTTTGAGCTCTTGTTGCAGAAGCAAAATGATTCACACATCCTGTAGGCCGCCTTTCCGCTGTGAAGCAATGGAGTTAGCCGGTGCTGAAGTAAACTAACTGATATGATGCCCTTCCCCACCCCCTCCCAAGTACCATAGTATCTTAAACATTTTTGTTTTGAATAACCGAACATCAATTCTTAGAATGATTCTTCAAAACGAGGAAATTGTCATCGTACCTTCGCATGGTTTCGAGAAAACAATCCGGAAATGGTTTCCCGCGCTTGACTGCTTTATCGTCTCCGCAGAGAGCACCTGCAAAGTACAGTGCGTAACTACCAGAAGGTCAGCTTAGTGGACAAAAAAGGATAGCTATATCGGTAAAAAGTATGATCACATCAAAGACGAAATGAACTGATCACGAACTCTCTCTTTCAGTCTTTGCACAGTATTTTATACGGTCTGTCACTCTGACAAGCCCATAAAACCATCCTTTACTGCGCTTCAGCTACAATGTGGGAAGAGATCGGTGAATGGGGCAGTCCGTGTGATTTACGGTATGATATCCCAGATACCACCTCTGGCCGCTCGCGCGGCATTGCGTAGCGCGAGCGAGCTAACAGAGCAACTCGCATCGGCCTGAGTTCAAGTGGTACTGGCGCACGGCCGGTACAACTAGTAGGTTTGGCGTATAATGACACAGAAATTTCAACTTTGTAGAGGAGGGATTCACCGGGATACGTGAAATAACGCTTCCGCTCTTACACACTCGCAGAGAGGGTCAACTGTTCGTACTATTCGGTCGAGGGTGTCGCATATGAATTTTGTGGTTTTGGGCAGGGAGGGTCGTGGTTGGGTTGAGCAAGGTTTACCCTCTGGAAGAGTACGAACGAAGTACTATTTTCGAAGTTGAAGAGGCGTAGTTGTGTAGGAAGGGGGTCGTTTTCTGACGGTTTTGACGATGATTTGGTGAATGGATTTGCCCCTTCTTCATACCAATTTACCTAGACGGTGGTGGTCAGAGCAGGGGAGGTGGATCGCGCTGGGTAAGTCTTCTAACCATAAAATTAATGGTGGTTGTGGGTGGTGTCGCATGGAGACCCCTTGGGGGGGGGGGGGGAGGTCGCCAAATTTTTCGAAAAGTGCCAACGCGACGGTTGACCATGCTCGCCGAACTTATCCAGCGGTTGGTGCCAGTTGTGGCGCGTGCGTTTCGCGCGAATGCGACATTCGCATGTTTCGTTGCAATGTTTGGATGATTTCTTACAGTTCCCATGAATTGGAATAAAATGTGGAGTGGTGATTGAACGGGTTCTTTGTTCGCGTTAGTTTAACCAAACTAAACACAATTTCAAATAGCTTTCCACACAAGGTTTGCGTACCCAATTTAGAACTGCTGTTTCTGAAATTCAAAGAAAATCTCATAAGTGGATTCATGTATTCCATATTGCGTTATCTCATAAGTCGGATCGTTACACTCATTAGCTACCACGTATTGCCCTTTATAAGCTCATCAATAGCACCAACATTGTTTGAGGTTCGCGAGGCTTGCACGGACGGTACTTACGAGCATCATCCCCGACCTCACCGGGGATCGATCCCAGTTCGAAGTGGTCTTGTCTGAGTCCGATGTTGTAGTGTTGTTTTCGTTCGTGCTTGGTGATCTTTCTCCATTCTTCTAAATCTCTTCTTCTCTCCCGGCCTTCATCATTTAACGTCTAAAGAACTCTTATTCCGCTACGTCTCCTCAAAGTGACACATAGTCACTTGCATGCTATATTCCCCTTTTTTCGCCGATAGCAGAAACATCCCATCCTCCCACCGTCACTTCCCACTCACTTGCTTCTCTATGACACTAATACCACCACAAAAACTCTTCATTTCTAAAAAAGTTATACAATGACCTGAAACCCTTGGGATTTAGGCATGGGTCACTGATTCCGATCCGATCGTAGGAGAGGGTGGAAAGCTTTGAATGTCTCGGCCTTCGCGGCTTCGATGTGCGCACACAAGACGGTGAAGCTGGCTGATCACAATCCACACTTGGTCGCAAGCCTGCTCCGTCAGTGGTAACTCGTATCACGTTCGAACATTTTCGGGATTTTGCGACCCCCTAGCTCTCGAGGGGGTCCAGTTGCGACCCCCTGTTTTTGTTAATAAGAGTGCTAGACATGAATCCGTTGCGCCAGAAAGCGTCTGCGCGTCGTCGCGTCGGCCTTGGAGCGCGGCAGGTATCACCCGGGCGCTGGAAGAACGGGACGCGGCGAAGAAAAAATTTTAGAGGGGAATAACTTTCTTGGGACGTATTTTTTTGACTTGTTGAGGTAGATTTTGATTGTGCCTGAGGTGCGCTTCCAGAAAACTACAAGGATTGCCTAACTCTCCGGAAAGTACTTCTGTTAGAAGTGGAAAACCCAAAATTCTAAGAAGGCGCACCTTCAACTTTGAAGGCCCATAAAATCTTTCGTATGCGACATTTTGGAAATCTGTAAAAAGTTTCAGAAACTTCAAATATTTCTCTAACAAAATAGTATAAAAAGTTTAGTGATTGTCCCCTTTTTCAAAAAATTGTCCCGTTCGAACATTTTTCGTGCAAAAGCGAGTTTTTGGGCTTTCAGCGACCATAACTCACTTCATTTTCATTTCTGTGATGCACTTTTTTCATGGGTGAAAGTACAGGATTTGCTCTTTCTAACAAGCAAACCGTTTTTCAAAGTTCATTTTTCGAGAAAATCACACGTTCGAACATTTTGGGGGGTTTTGCCGAACACTTTTTTTGAAATCGCGAGTTTTTGGGCTTTAAGCGGGCATAACTCACTTCATTTTCACTTCTGTGATGCACTTTTGCCATGGGCGGCGAGGAAAGCCGGGCGCAGTTGCTAGGAAGCGCGAGGTGAATAAAGGTCGGAGAAGTTCCTACCATCGCTCTCTGCTGTGCGAGAGTAGAGCCGATAGTGAATGTACGCGCGGAGAGCACAGACGGCTCGCGGGTGGCGAGAGTGAATATCCGCGCGCGAGAACGTAAAGGATCAGGCGAAAATCCTCGACGTGCCGTTGAGGAATCCTCAAGCAATATTCACCTGGGCAACGGTAGCGTTGCCAATATCATTGGCACTGAGCAACTTGTAAGCTACGATCAGGAAACTCGTCTAATACGTCTACTCCTTTTTCCAATGGATCAATACGGTTGACAGAGAGGGGGGGGGGGGTTTGCCCGGGCCGTAATCAGCGCTTTTTTTTGCTTTCTATTCTTTTCAAGACTCTGGTCATTTCCAGCTTCATTATAGATCGCTCTTCATGATCCGTTTTCCCCCGCATTTTGCCCGTAGTAAGACACAGGGGTCGTTCAATTTAAGCCCACTGAAAGGGACTCCGGTAGACACAGACTCACGGCGGCGGCTTGGCTGAGCGCTACTGTAGAGGCTTGCAGTGGTAAGAGCATGGATGATATCTTGCTGCGTGCAAAGTTTTTGCTCTTTGTAATTAGATCTCTTTTGAGTATGAAAAATCATTCAGTGGTGAAATTTACACTGCGTCCAAAGCTATCACGTGTTCAGCGGAGTCTGACGTTCATCGCATATCTTTTTCGAATTGTTCCAAACACGTGGATGTTTCTACCCCACGGAAGGTGACGTATCTCCGATGATGGCTAAACAAATGGGAGATGCTTGCTCAACGGACCAAATTATTTTTGAAGGCTTACTTCTAGAATGCTGACATTTGGACAATGAAACTTGGTCCACAATCAGTCGTTGGTGCTACCCTAGTCCTAGCCACTACCCTCGTGTTATCCTGCCATAAACGGCAACGAGCGTGTACTTGAAAAAAATGCCATACAATTCTTTGGATGGCGCAAGCAAGTGAAGCATACACGTATATCTCTTTCGCAACAATGATTGAAAGTTTAGTTCCATCCCATGATCAGGCTCTGATAATGGGTTGATAGATGACTGCTACATTTTTCGA